TCCAGAATAGATAATTGCAGTAAATCAAAATAATATCTCCTAAGGAATAGAAAATTAATAACCTGCATGAATTTTAGCACTCCATAACCCTTGATAGCAGCTATCCCCATATCATGGAAGGAAAGTGCAGGAAAGTGTAAAATATATTTACTTGCACATCAACCCTAACTCACCCACCATTCCCCTTTCGATTTCCTGTCTTTAGCCAAAGAAAACCTTTCCCAACTATTTCCTTCAACTTTTGGAATGAAACAAAAAAGAAATTTTACATTTAGAATCACCGACAAAGATTGGCACTTCAATGCATAATTATCAGGAAAATAAGCAAAATATTAATCTAGATTTATAAAATAGATCATTGGAAGAAGATTTTCAGAGCAAAGCACTACCTGTGGAATAACAATTGCCAGATTTAGAACACCCATAGATAAGCCTGCATAAAGACAATTAAGACAAGAAGTGTCCTGGCCACATCTCCAATAGGCAAAATGAAGAAAAGTAAATACAGGCAAAAAAAAAAAAAATGTCCACCTTGGCCAAGTCCTAAAGACTCAATACGTGTGGAAATCAAGGCATATGGAACACTGTAGGTGATCTGCAACAAAATATTTCAGAAAATTAATGAAATTCACAAACCAAGTTCTTATTGAAAAGGGGAATGATTATTTTAATTACAACTTTACAACTTAAAAGATTAGAAGATGCCATGACTGACTTCTCTACTTTTTTGTTCCCTTTATTCCCTTTCTTATTATCATAACTTAAAAAATTCAATAGAAAATATGACATGGTTTTAGCACAAGGAACTGACCAACTTACCGCCAGTGGGACACCAAGAACCGAAAAAATTATTAACGCAGCAATTACAATGCCATTTGATGGCATACCATGGCCAACATAGTCCATATGGTTTGTCACATAGGAGAGAATGAGCATTGAGAGAAAGCAAATAGCCAAGAGGATGTTTGAAACTCCCCAGACGAAACCAGCCCCCCATTTCCTGCAAAGTTTTTCCATAAGAACTGAAGTAATTCCTAGGATAACTGAATTCAACATCAAACCCAATGCTCCCATTCTGACTCCAGTATTATAAACTTGTCCTTCATTTGGCTTGCCACCATAGATCTCTCTCCCCATCCAATCAGTATCAAAGAGAAGAAATGGAAACCATCCAATCCAAGTCAGAGCAGTAACAGAGAAAATTATCCATATAGGCCCTGAGAAATATCCAAAAGTTCCAAATAATTCCCAGAGAAAAGCTTCTTGAGCATGGCCTGCTTGTGCAGGCCCATCTTCATTAGAAATAGTACCTCTGTTAGTAGATGAACCTAGAGGGACTTCATTAGCGGCTGAAATGCTTATACATGTAGTTATTGCAATGAAAATAATGTCAATAAAGAATGCAGACTTGAGATTGGCACAATCGGCATTGCATGCAGATGTCATGGTAAACGGTAATATTTTAAACCAACTGCTGAATGATCCAGTTGCAAAGCCAAGAACATTCCCAACAGCCATAAACAGCGAGAAATATGCATTTGCCACTCGAGTCCTTCGATGGTCCTTTCCTAACATGAAAGAAATAGCCAGAAGATGATGTAAATTGAATGCTGGTTTCTTCAGGTCTTTATATTCCTATGTGCAGCAGGTATATATATAAGTATTGACTGCTATTCCACAAACAACATAATTTTGTGACATTTGGTGTCTAATATTTTTTTACCCTACCATATATTCAATTGTACATGGAAAATTACTCTAATCATCACTATGTCAGTATGTCTACATGAGAACCACCAAAAAGGCACTTAAATTATCAATCCTATTAATTTCTCCTCTGGGAGATACATTCAGTGGTTCATTGTATATTTTGACACTATTTTGAAACCAAAATCCTAATCCGGTTGTTTCATGAGTCATGACATATTTAAGTCACTCTTCCTCTTTATGTTTCACTGATGTGGGACTTTTACATTTTACCACAACTCACAAGGAACCTTTACTTCAACAACGAGATAGTATTCAAAACATGATGACATTTTGGAAAAATGGATAGTAGTAATTCTGGAGAAAATGCACACCTTTTCAGACACAAGAAGTTCTTCCTTCTCCCTAGGACCATCATATTCTAAGATACATTAACAAAGCTCATATATAACCTAAACATTTATCGCTTAATCTTTACCCAAAAGCCAAGATGAGAACCAAAGAATAGGGGAAAAGTGATTTTAATTCGTTAGCATGTAAACATTCTGTAAGTGTAACCATAACTGTTACAACAGTAAAAATGAAATTAATTTCCTTTCCCCCCAAAAAAATAATGAACATAAAAAATTAAAATTGGGCATAATCGTAATTTAAAGTTCCAAAAAATATAAAATAAGATACAGTATAACATACCGCAGATGCTACATGAAAGCAGAGCATCAAAAAAATAATCAAATAATTGAAAAAACGGTTTCTATTCCGATCTCGTTTGATTCCGATGAACTGAAAATTGCTAAAATCGAACGGAAAAGGAAGAAATTGCTTACCAGTGAGATCAGCTAGAAGAGCTCTACAAGGACCCTGAGTCATGTTATTAGCAACATCGAGAATCCAAAATCCAAATACAAACGCCCCGATAGCTCCCGGCCTGAAACTCCCTCTATCGCCAAGCAACCATCCAATATCCGCGGAGTGGCCGATGATCAGAACGGCTACAGAAATCGAAACGGCACCGGCAACGATAAAAGGACTCCGGCGACCGAACCGGCTGGTACATCGATCGCTCATGTGGCCGACTAGAGGCTGAACCAGCAGGCCGGAGAGTGGACCGCAAAGCCAGATGATGCTGGACCAGGCGTGCGGTATACCAAGCTCCTGCACGTACGGTGTCAAGAGAGAGAGCTGAAGCGCCCACCCGAACTGTATGCCGCATGCGACGGAAGCAACCCGGAGCAGCTTTCGGAGCCGGACTCTGCCTCGAACTGGTGGCCTAGCCGGCGGGCGATTCGAAGACGACGGTCGATTTGGGAACCTGTGGCGGTCTGGTTCAGCAGTCGCCATTGGTTAGCCTTCGCAGTTACTCTCTCCCTCTATCTCTGTAACCGATTATGCTATCGAATTTGTGAGTTCGCTTTTTTCAGTAACAGAGTGGGAGGTGGCAGTTCCGTCGAGACTGTGGAAAGTGGAAATGGAATTTTAAGGAGACGGAGTTGACCTCTTCCTTTACGGAAATTACAAAAGGAACCCAAGATGGAAGCTAGGTAGAAAAGTACAGGACGAAGGGCAATTATCGAACTTAAGAACTTAAATTTTTGTATTTTTGGAGGGTATTTGGAGCGCAAGTCCAACCGCCCAGTTGTCCCCATCCGTAAAGTTTCGGAAATTTAGGATTCTCAACGAAATGACAAGATTACCCCTAAAAATATTACACCCTCGTCCAACTTTAGTAGGGGTAATTTTTTATTAATAATATAAAGATGAAATAATTATTAACTGATAAAATTTTATATTTATTTTTAATTAATATAAATAAACATACCCCTTTTGAAATAGTTTAAATTAATTTATTATTATTAATTTTAACATTTAATTGTTAAGATATTTTGTCTAAATTTAAATATCTACCATTAAAAATTATATCTATTCAAATTTAACCAATAGAGTACAAACTAAAATGGATTGTGTTGGGAGAGTTATATTATATAGTTTAAATCTTTAATTTGATCTTTAAACTATTGTAGAAACCTTGATTTAGTTTTTATTGTTTATCAATTTGCTTCAAGTTGGTTTTGTCATACAAAAAACAACTAACATATCTTGTAATTAACGTAACACGTGATCATTAAGTAATTATTTTTTGCTACTAAGTAACAAACATATCAACTATTTTTTGTATAAAATGACTAATTTGAAGTAAATTGATAAATAATATGGACCAAATCAAGGGCATGTACAATAATTTAATGATCAAATTAGAGGTTTAACCAACTATATTCATGAATACTATTTTCTTTATTATAGAGGTTTGTTCTTATCATGCTTTCCACATTTTTATTTCAGACAACCTTTTTATTTAAATATAAAATTCTAATTTTTAATTAATATTTATTATTTTTTATTTTAAAATTTAATTAATACTTTATATATTTTTATAATAATAAAAGATTTAAAAAAATTCTTACAATTACAACCACTAACAAACAAAGGCATAATTAGATAAAAAAAAAATGTTTTTCCATTCGAGAAAACTCAAATTCACATTAGTTCAAATATTTGAATTTCTTACTGAGTCAAGGTAAAATTAAAATTTAATATTTGAATTGACATTTTTTAAAACAATTTTAGATTAAAAACATTTTTTTTATGTAATTAATAATAAAACAAAAGTTAAAGAGAGGGATTTACTTTGATTTGTAATTTCCTTTTGAGTTGATAAAGAGAATAGAGGGCGATATCCGCATACTATATAAGCTAAGAGGAAAGAATGCAAAAGTATTTTTGCTTAGTTAGAATTGTCGGTTTCTTTAGGGACGAGGTCCATGGACCATGGCTGTCACCTTACGTGATGAACCAGCCTACTAAGATACTGTTCCTTTCTCTTTCTCACTCGCAAACAAACTCATGTAATGTGATTTTTTTATAACAAGTCAGGTATCATGATGATTGCATTCATTTAATAAACAGAAAAGGACGAATATGTATATATATATGGTTATAATTAAATGGGTGGAACACCTTTTTAAATTAAGAGGTGTTGCAAGCACGGTTATACAAAAATTTATCCAAAAAAAACAACGGTATGCAAAAATATCTAACTAAATAGGTTAAATGTTAATTTTAATCCCTTAACTTTATAGTTTTGCACTTTTTCATCCCTCAAGTTTTTTTTTAACATTTTTTTCATCATTTAACTCTAAAAATTGTACAATTTCAGTCTTCCATCAGTTATTTATGATGTAGCAGTTAAGTAATTCCAAAATGGCATTTTCTTTTAATCCTTTTGATGACATGTCAATAACATGTATTGTAATTTAATTATGTGTACAAACTGTAATGCCAAATAAGATGAACATTTATATTTTTAATTAAAAGAAATGAAAAACGAAAAAGTTATCTTATCAAATCAAAGGTTGAGCACAGCTACTGGGTTCAATGAAACCCATTTGCTAGTTCCGTCAAACCTAGAAGATCTTATCAAATCAAACTAAATCCTCATTCACTTACTAATAAATAATGTCAATCAAACCCTAATTAAATTCCAATATAAAATGCAATCAAATTTCAACAAATCAACTCCCAAAATTTGAAAAAACCTGCGAAGAATAGGTACAGTAGGTAGATTAAGAATTGAGAATGGAGAGGGAAAGAAGAACTTAGATTTGTTGCATTCTATTGAACCCACTTGCTAGGTTTCATCGAACCCAATCTACTGGGTTTGAGGGAACCCAACGGCTGGGTTCTGATAGACCCCAGAGCAGTTGGGTTTTGATAGACCCCAGAGCAACTGGGTTCTGATAGACCCCCACAGTAGTTGGGTTCGAGGAACCCAACAGCTAGGTTCGACAGAAAAAGGAAGAAAGAGGGGAAAGAGGAGGGGAAGAAGATGGATCAAGAATGGGATATGAGTTTTTTATTTGTACACGTAATCAAATTATATGACATATTATTGCCATGTTATCAAAAAAATTTAAAAAAAATGATATATTGAAATTATTTAACTGTCACGTCATAGTAACTAATGGAAGGAGTAAAATTGTGCAACTTTTAGAGTTAAATGATTAAAAAAGTACAAATAAAAATTGAAGGATGAAAAAGTGCAAAACTTAAAGTTGAGGGACTAAAATTAGTATTTAACCAATTAAATAAAGGGTTATAGAATTGTTTGGATTAAATATTTAACACAGTTAATAATTAATATTTAATATTGAATAACTGATAATTATTATTGTTTATAATTTAAAATATTTAAATCATTCAATTAAATTTAATTGTTGATAACTGTTCTCTAATATATGAAACAAATACTCCATAATACTTTTATTTGGTTTACAAGACATGATGCAGTTAAACATATGAAAGTTTGTTTGCTTTTTTTTTTTT